TTTTTAATTGGGTTGTTTGTTTTCTTATTGTTGAGTTTTTAGAGTTCTTTGTATATTTTGGATACCATTCCTTTATCAGATAAGTGGCTTTCTAATATTTTCTGCCAGTTTGTGGCTTGTCTTTTCATTCTCTTAATAGTGTTTTTTTCAGAGCAGAAGTTTTATTTTTAATGAAGTCCACCCTATCAATTTCTTCTTTCATGGATAATGCATTTGTTGTTGTATGGAAAAAGTTATGTCCAAGCACAAAGTCACCTAGATTTTCTCCAATGTTATCTTCCAGAAGTTGTATAATAATTTTTTATTTCACATTTAGATCTGTGATCTATTTTGAGTTAATTTTTATGAAAGGTGTACACTCTGTATCTAAATTTTTTGTCTTGTTTTGTTTGCATGTGGCTATCCAGTGATTCCAGCACCATTTGGTGAAAAGGCTGTTCTTTCTCCATTGAATTGCTTTTGTTCCTTTGTCAAAGATCAGTTGACTATATTTGTGTATGTCTATTTCCGAGCTCTCTATTCTATTCCATTGATTTATTTGTCTCCTCTTTTACCCATACCACTCTGTCTTGATTACTGTAGCTTTGTAGTAAGTCTTGACATTGGGTAGTGTCAGTCCTCTGACTTTGTACTCCTTCAGTATTGAGTTGGCTATTCTGGGTTTTTTCCCTTTCTATATAAACTTTAGAATCAGTTTATTGATATCCACATAATAGTTTGCTGGGATTTCACTGAATCTATAGATCAAGTTTGGAAAAATTGACAATAATATTGTCTTCCTATCCATGAACATAGATGGTCTTTCCATTTATTTGGATCTCCTTTGATTTGTTTCATCAGAGTTTTGTAGTTTTCTTCATATAGATCTTGTACTTCTATTGTTAGGTGTATACCTAAGTATTTCATTTTTTTGTTCTAATGTAATTGATGTTGTGTTTTAAATTTCAAATTCCCGTTATTCCTTGCTGTTACATAAGAAAGCAATTGATTTTTGTGAATAAATCTTATATCATGCAACCTTGTTATCATCACTTATTAGTTCCAGGAGGTTTCATGTTTTTTGTTTTTTTGTCGATTGTTTGGGATTTTCTACATAGACAACCATATCATCTGTAAACAAAGATGATTTTATTTCTTCTTTCCCAATCTGTATAGCTTTTATTTCCTTTTCTTGCCGTATTGCATAGCTAGAACTTCTAGTACATGTTAAATAGAGTGGTGAAAGGGGATATCCTTGTCTTGTTCTCCAACTTAGGAAGAAAGCATCTGGTTTCTTACTATTAAGTATAATGTTAGCTATAGGTTTTTTGGCAAATGTTCTTTGCCAAGTTGAGGAAGTTTTCCTTTATTCCTAGTTTGCTGAGAGTTTTTATCATAAATGTGTGTTGAATTTTGTCATATGCTTTTTCAACATCTATTGATATGCTTATATAATTTTTCTTTTTTAACCTGGTTGATGTGGTGAATTCCGTTAATAGTTATTGAATGTTGAACCTATCTCGCATACCTGGAATAAATTCTATCTGCCCATGGTGTACATACAGTCTTGCATTACTTAACAACGGGGATATGTTCTGAGAAATGCATTGTTAGGCAATTTCATCATTGTACAAACATGATAGAGTGTACTTACACAAACCTAGATGGTATAGCCTACTATACACCTAGGCAATATGGTACTAATCTTATGTGACCATTGTTATATAGGCAGTTTGTCATTGACGGAAGTGTCATTGTGCGGTGCATGACTGTATAATTCTTCTTATACTTTGTTGGATTTGCTCTGCTAATATTGCTGAAGATTTTGCATCTACATTCATTAGAGTAATTAGTCTGTAATTTTCCTTTCTAGTGATGTCTTTGTCTGGTTTTAGTGTTAGGGTGATGCTGGCCTCATAGAATGAGTTAGGGAGTTCTTCTATATTTTGAAAGAGATTTTAAAGGACTGGTATTAATGCTTATTTAAATGTTTGGTGAATTTCACCAGTGAAACCATCTAGTCCTGGTGCTTTCTGTTTTGGAAGGTTATTGATTATTGATTGAATTTCTTTTATATATATAGGCCTATTCAGATTATTTACTTTTCCTAGTGGGAGTTTTGGTAGATTGTCTTTCAAGGAATTGGTCCATTTCATCTAGGTTATCATATTTGTGGGCATAGAGTTGTTTATAGTATTCTTTAATTATTCTTTTAATGTGCATAGGATCAGTTGTGGTGGCCTGTCTTTCATTCTTCATATTAGTAATTTCTGTCTTTTCTTTTTTTTCTTGGTTAGCCTGGCTGGAGTTTTATCAATTTTATTGACCTTTTCAAAACACTAGCTTTTGGTTTCATTTATTTTGTGATTTTCTCTGTTTAATTCATTCTCTTTGGGTTCACTAACTTCTTGAATCTGTAGATTAATTTCTTTTACCTAATTTGGAAAGTTTTTAACCATTATTTTATTTTATTTCTTTTGGGAGGAAGATCAGCCCTGAGCTAACATCTGATGCCAATCCTCCTCCTTTTGGCTGAGGAAGATTGGCCCTGGGATGACATCCGTGCCCATCTTCCTCTACTTACATGGGATGCTGCCACAGCATGGCTTCACAAGCGGTGCATCGGTGTGTGCCTGGGATCCGAACCTGCGAACCCCAGGCTGCCAAAGCAGAGTGTGTGCACCTAACCCGCTGCGCCACTGGGCCGGCCCCTAGCCATTATTTTTATGAGTACTTTTTCTCTCCTGCCGTCTTTCTCCTTTCCTCCCAGTACTTGATGATACAAACGTTAGATCTTTGGTGTAGTTCCATAGATCCCTGAGGCTCTATTCATTTTTTTTTTACAGTCTATTTTCTCTCTGCTGTTTATATTGGGCAGTTTCTATTATTCTGTCTTACAGGTTAAAGGTTCTTTTCTCTTTCTCCTGCATTCTGCTCTTGGGCTCATCCACTGAGTTTTTTATTCCAGTTATTTTCAGTTCTTCTTCTTCTTCTTCTTTTTTTTTTTGCTTGAGGAAGATTAGCCCTGAGCTAACGTCTGTACCAGTCTTCCTCTATTTTGTATGTGGGTCGCTGCCACAGCATGGCTGACGTGTGGTGTAGGTCTGCGCCCAGGATCTGAACGCGCAACTCCAAGCCACTGAAGCGGAGTGCACCAAACTTAACCACTCTGCCATGGAGATGGCTCCTATTTTCAGTTCTAAAATTTCCATTTGGTTCTTGGTTATATCTTTTATTTTTTTACTGAGACTTTCTATTTCTTTGCCAAGATATTCTATTTTTTCATTTGTTTCAAGCATGTTCTTTTTTTTTTTTTTCTGGGGAAAGATTTGCCGTGAACTAACATCTATTGCCAGTCTTCCTCTTTTTTTCCCCCCTTCCCCAAAGCCCCAGTGCATGGTTGTATATATCTAGTTGTAGGTCCTTCTAGTTCTTCTGTATGAGCTGCCACCACAGCATGGCAACTGACAGGTGGGTGGTATGGTTCCATGACCGGAAATGAACCCAGGCTGCCGAAGCAGTGAGAGTGCTGAACTTGAACCACTAGGCCACCAGGGCTGGCTCATCAAGCATGTTCTTAATTGCTATTGAAGCATTTTTATAATGGCTGCTCTTAGATCTTTGTCAGATAACTGTAACTTGTCTGTCATCTCAGTGTTGGCATCTATTGATTATCCTTTGTCATTTACTTTGCCATCTTCCTGGTTCTTGTTATGATGGTGATTTTTGATTGAAACATATACATTTTGGTTATTATGTCATGAGTCTCTGGATCTTATTTAAACCTCTGTTTTACCTGGCTTCCTCTGACATCTCTCTCTCTGGTAGGGGAAGGGAGAGGCGCCATATCATTACTGCCAGGTGGGTGTAGAAGTCCAGGTTCTCCAGGTAGCTTCCATTGATACCCAAGTTGTGGGTGTGTGTGGGGTGGGTTGGGGGGCTTGTTACTGCTGGCTAGGAGTGGAAGTTGCAGCTCTCCACTAGGCCTCCACTGATACCTATCTGGCTCGGAGGAGTAGGAATGCCTTGACTCTGTGCCCCTCATGGTCTCCACTGATATCATGAGGGATAGGGTGACCTCATTAGCACTGCATAGTAGTGAAAGTTCTGACTCTCCACTAGGCCTCCTCTGATATCACCCAGCAGGGAGAGAGGGGGTTATCTCATTATTGCTGCAAGTCCAGCTCCCTGTGTGGTATCCACTGACACTATAGGGGATTTGGTTGGTTACCACCCAGAAGGGATGAAAGCCCTAGGTTCCTACTTGGCCTTCTCTGAAATCTGTGGGATATTAGAGCACCTTGGTTCATCTTGGTGAGGATGGAAATCTACTTTTTGTCTCTATGGATTTGCCTATTCTGGACATTTCATATAAATGGAATCTGTGGCCTTTTTAAACTGGCTTCTTTCACTTAGCATAAGGTTTTCAGGGTTCATCTGTTTTGTAGTGTATATCAGTCCTTCATTTATTTTCATTGCCAAATAATATTCTGTTGTATGGATATACCACATTTTACTTATCTGTTCATCAGAAGATGGACATTTGGATTGATTCTACTGTTTGGCTATTGTGAATAATGCTGCTTTGAACTTTCATATTCAGGTTTTTCTGTGAACATGTTTTCGATTCTCTTGGGTGTATACCTAGGAGCGGAATTGCTGGGTCCTATGGTAACTCTGTGTTTAACATTTTGAGAACTTTATTTCTCTTTTATTATTAATTTTTGTCTTATTGTATTGTAATGTCAGGAAAGAGGCTTCAAGATATTTTGTAGTGTCTTTTGGGTTCTTAAAAAGGACTTATTTCTTAGAAAGTAGATTTATTTCTACTCTTATTCTTTGCTTACATCTGTATTTTTTCCATTAGTAATGGGTGCTGATAATTAAGTTACTCATATCTATAAGTGAGATGAATATTAAAGTTCTTTAAACTCCTTGTTCCTTTTGAAACATTGTGAATGTATAATTATTCAGTCATGACTTTTATATTCACAAATTTACCTGTGCTTTTAACTATTTAGAAAAAAGAAAGTGAGTGCCTGCAATTAAAAATTTTGGTGCTTCGAAATGAACTGGAAAGACAGAAGAAAGCTTTGGGATGGGAGGTGGCATTACTGCATAAGCAACAAGTTGCATTACAGGAGAAAGGTGAGTAAAAATACCATACAAACAGCCTAACCTCACATCCAGCAGTTTTTCTTTCTTCTCCATAGGCTCAAATAGTCACCTTTGCATAAATATGCTGACGTAATTTTTAAAAAATTTTTGAAGCATTTCTTGAAGTATTTTGAAATTGATACATACAGAAAAGTATACAAATACATGTACACACATTATATTTTAAATTTTCAAAGTGAACACACCTATATAAGCAGAATCTCCACTGAGAGACAGAGAATTATAGGGACCTCAAAACCTCAGAAGCTTCCTCATGCTGTCTTCCATTCAGGAAATCTCCAGCCAGACTAACCACTACCTTGACTTAGTATACCAAAAATTGGGTTTGCCTAATTTTGGACTTTATACAAATAGAATCATATAATATGTACATTTTATGTGCTGGTTTTAGTTCAACATTTTGTTTGTGAGATTCTTTCTTACCCGCATGTAATGTAGTCTTAGTTCATTCTTACTGCCAATAGTATTTCATTGTATGAATATGAATTTATTTATTCTTGCTTTTGGCATGTTGGTAATTTCTAGTTTGGGACTGTTACAGATAATGCTTTCATGAACTTTCTAGTACATGTTTCTTAGTGAAGATTTCTTATGCATTTCTGTTGGATATAAACCTAGGAGCAGAGTTATACAGTCATAAGGTATGCATATCTTCAGCTTCAGTAGATTGTGTCCAAAATTTTCCAAAGTGGTTGTGCCAGTTTACCTCCTCTCCATCCAGCAGTGTATCAGATCTCTTGTCCTATATCCTTGTCGGTGTTTGGTACTTGCTGTCTTTTGTATTTTAGCCTTTCTGATGGGTATGTTGTAGTATCTTCTTGCAGTTTTAATTTTGATTTCCCTGAAGACTAATGAAGTTGAACAATATTGCATATATTTCTTGCTGATTGGGATACACTCCTTTGTGAAGTACCTGTTGAAGTCTTTTGCCCATTTTTTAAATTGGTTTGACAATTTTTTTATAGGAGTTCTTTATATATTATGGATATGGGTTCTTTGAATATGCATTAAAATATATTTTCCCATTCTGTGGCTTGCTAGTTCACTCTTTAATGATACCTGTACATAAACAGAAGTTCCATTTTGTCAGTCTCTTCTTTTGTATTTAAGGCTTTTTGTGTTCAGTTTAAGAAATATTGGCCTATTTTAATGTCATAAAGATGTTCTTTTATGTTTTCTTTTAAATGCTTTACTATTGTACTTTTTACATTTATATCTGTAATTCATCAGGAATTGATTTTTTGTGGATGGTGTAAGGTAAGAGTCAAGATTCATTTTTTTCACATAGATAGTCAATTGACCCAGCACCATTTATTGAAGACCGTTCACTCTCCATTGCACTACAGATTCACGTTTGTCTAAATCGGGTGATCATATACTTGCATGTCTGTTACAGGACCCTCTGTTCTGTTCCATTGATCTGTCTCTTGTTTTGCCATTATCTCTCTGTTTTAATTTCTCTGTGTTATAATTGGTGTTGCTATCTGTTATGGTTCTTCACCTTAGTTGTTCTTCAAGATCACCTTGCTTATTCTTGTCCTTTTGCTTTTCATAAGGATTTCTACACAGAAAAGAAAACCTTGCTAGGAATTTGATTGGGACTACATTTAATATACTTATCAATACAATTGGAGTAATAAATGACTTTACAATATTGAGTCTTCCAGCCCTAGGAAGTGTTATATGTCTTTGTTTATTAGATCTTCTTTACAAAACATTATTGAACTAAACTAGTTGTTAGTATATGGATATTTCTCATGAGTCATTGAATTTATTTCTATTTTTTTGTGTTTTATGATACTATTGTAAATATTTTGTTTTCTGCTTGTTGCTGAGATATAGAAATACAATCGATTTTTTTTAAAGTGGTATTGATTTTTATTATATGTGCAAATAAAAATTCCCCAGAAGTCTTATAGACAAATTAGCAGTTGCTAATATTTGGGTAATGGCCCTGCAGCTGCAGCTCTCACTGCGGTTATTTATTTATTTACATTATAAGTCAATTATATTTATGGTTAATTTTAACCACGTTGTAATTACTTATAATTTAATTATTTTATAACATTATAAAGATAAAAAATTACAGAAAGTTTTTTTAACAGCTTTATTGAGATTTAATTCATATACCATGCAATTCATTTTAAAGTGTATAATTCAGTCGTTTTTGGTTTATTTACTGGATTGTGTAACGATCACAACCTAATTGTCCCTCCTAAAAGAAAACTCATACCCATTAGCAGTCATTTCACATTCTGCCTTACCAGCTTTATCTCTAAGATGGAGTTAATAATAATACTTATAACTATGCCTTGCTGAGTTTAACGGACTTCTAAGTTCTGTTGTTATAGCTGGTCTGTGGACCATACTTTATATAGGAAGGATATGTGTGATGATCAGATGAGTTGTAAAATTGAAATGATCTTATAAAAATAGGAACAAAATACCTTCTGTCTTTTCCCTTTATCATACTTGGTTGGGTTTCTGTGCTGTTTAAGATGAAGTCCTGACTCAAGATGATTTACAAAGTCCTCCTACGGCCCACCTCAATCTGAATGCTTCAGCCGTACGGAACTTCTTTAGTTCCTTCAGTATGCTTTAGTCTGTTTCACTTGCATTTAAGCCTCTGTTTAAACATTGCTTTCTCCAGGAAGTCTTAACTAGCTCCGTTCTCCTTCTCCCATCTCTATCCGCTAGGTTAGATGAACTACTGTGTGTTTCCATAGCATCCTGCATTTTTCTATTATGGCATTGTAATTGTTAGTTTATCTCTTCCTCTAGACTGTAAGGTCTTTGAGGATAGGTACTGCCCAAGTGCTATGTTAAACACTTATATTCTTTGGGCATGGGATGTGCCTGGGACATATTAAGCATTCAATAAATATTTGTTGAATGAATCAGTCATACTCATGGCTAACAGTCTAATGTCTCGGGCATTATTGCTAAAGAATGAGGACTTCTGTAGCTTCTAGCTCAATATTCATTTAGGAAAACTGATATTCTCGTGAGAAATACTATAGAACAAGTGTATATTGTTTGGCAGTGATTGTTAAAACTATCTGCATTCCAATATAGCTTGCATATTGACATTTATACATGAGAGTCTAATAGGCTAATGCCATTTAAAATCATAAGACATTGTGAATGAAGTCCATTTCCATAGAGTCTCCGTTAGAATGACTTCAAATAAATAGATAATTGCGTATATATAAGACCTGCTTTAAGAGGTCTTGCCTTCTGTGATCAGACACATTTCTTATGGTGCTTTGGAAGTACCATCAACTTTTATTACATTCAAATTGCCTGCTACCTGTAGCATGTATTTCTGCATATCTTTTTCAGGATCCTCAACATTTAAAAGGAAAACGCTATAGGGTTTTAGAGGAGTTAGGGGCTTTTGCCTTTTTCTAATAGGAGTAATATTTATAATAGCTACAATATTTCCATTACAATACTTATCACTGTATGGATATGATGTTATTTAATCACCGCAATAACTTTTTGAGGTGGGTACTATTATTATTTACATTTTACAGTTGAGGAAACTCTAAGTCAGGGTCAGAGACGTTGAATACCTTATTTAAGTTCACACAGCTAATGACAGGTGATGTTGGGTTTAAAATCTTTGTATTGATTCCACAATTCTCAATCACAGTATAAGACTTACCTTCTACTACCAGTAGGGTGAAGTATAAAGCCCATGGAATGTATATTATTCTAGCCTATGGTAAAAGATAGGGAGATGTACTTCTTTGATTATGTTCCTGGTTGTGTTTTTTTTCCTTATAATGATAGTGGGAAGTCCCAAGAAATCTGTCATCTTTAAGCAGGTGAACTTCTGAACAGTTGTTTCTATCTCATTTAAAAGATTGAGGTGTAATAATTATTGTTCATATTTATAGAATGCTTATTGGTGCCAGGCAATGTTATGTGTTTTCTATTCTTTATCTCATTCAGTTCTTACTAATAGTCCTATGAATTAACGGTATTATCATTATCCTCCTAATAATCAAGTTATTATATACTATTATCCAATTTATAGATGAGGAAACTAAGTATCACAGAGGTTAAGTGACTTGCCCAAGCCATATAGCAAGTTGTAGCGGAGCCCGTGTTCAAAGTTACTGATGTCTAACAATGCCGCAAAGAAAGATTATAGGATTTTGTAGATCTGTTCTAGTGTTTTAATTCTGACAATCAAGTCAGAATTAACACATTCTTGTATCTCCATTTTATCACAGAAAGAAGGGATAGTAATGCTCAAGTTAAATAGGTATTTGCCAGGATGGGTCAGAATTGTTGATTTTTAACACTAACTTTGTACTTCAGGAGCTTTCCTTCCACTTTTATATATGTTTTTGAGATGATTATTATTTTGCGTTTTCCCAAACTCTTAGAATCATTGGAAGGTTAGGATCAAATGTTCAGACTTTGGTCTCAAACATAGCAGTAGAAAGAGTGCTGCTGTTGGCCGCACTTTTCTGCCATTAGAAATTTCTGCAGACTGTGGTGCTCAGCATTGGGGAGTTGGAAAGAAGGGATGGGTGGATACAGATAACCAAATTTAAGTACCACGAGATCCTGGTCTACTAGTTGGGGACCCTTGTTTTTCATAGTGATTGTGCTAATTAACCAGAAACATACTTATGCTTGTCTATTAAAAATACGTTTATGTTGAACATTATTCTTGTATAGTTACATGAATGTACTATTTCATGAATTTTGAGCCGAGTGAAGATATTTTAGAAGCACTTGAGTCACTGGTATTGATAACATGAAGGGGAAAAATGGATTTGTCTCTTGTGTTTGCAGCTTTGATTTAATATGTTTGCTGGCCAGTAGTGAAGTGATTTGCTAATATAAATATTACTAGTGGCTTCTTACGTATTATGATCTCTCTTTGGCACTTGTATTTATCTAGGCGCTTGGTTCTCAGCCCGAGAGCTCAATTAGGATACAAAATCAATAAT